CTGACGGCACTCATCGCCCGGACAGACGTCAAGAAGCACAGAGACTATCCGTTGGCGTCGAAGGACGAGAACAAACAGCTTCTGGTGGGCGCCGCCATCGGCACCAGAGATAGCGATAAGGAAAGGCTTAAGAAACTGGTCGACGCCGGCGTTGATGTCATTATTTTGGTATTTATTTTGTTGTTTAGTAGTCGTTATAAAGTGTTAATAATGGGTGACCTCTGACCCCACGCGTAGGACTCATCTCAAGGCAATTCTGTGTATCAAATAAATATGATTAAGTATATGAAGAACGAATACCCGAACGTCCAGATCGTCGCCGGAAACGGTACGCCAAACCTCCCGTTCCTATCATTTATTTCATACACTAATTGATGTCTCAATTGATCCGTTCGATGACCGCAATCAGTGGTGACCACAAAACAGGCTAAGAATCTGATCGAAGCCGGCGCCGACGGCTTGAGGATAGGCATGGGCTCCGGGAGTATATGCATCACACAGGAGGTGATGGCGTGCGGTCGACCCCAGGCCACGGCTGTGTACAAAGTGTCCAAATTTGCCCGAAAACACGGCGTCCCGACCATCGCCGACGGAGGCGTGTCTACTGTGGGTCACGTGATTAAGGCGCTGGCGTTGGGCGCGTCGGCTGTGATGATGGGCTCTATGTTGGCGGGCACTACAGAAGCGCCGGGAGATTACTACTTCTCGAACGGAGTTCGCGTCAAGAAGTACAGAGGAATGGGATCTATCGATGCCATGGAGTCCAAGGACGGAGAGGGCAGTCGTCAGCGATATTTCCAAGGGTTTGTGTGGACAGGGATTTGGGTGTTTGGGTCCGGGATTTAATGGGTGTTTCCATGCGGTTTCTGCAGAGATAACGATGACGTACGGGTGGCTCAGGGAGTGTCGGGTGCTATTGTGGACAAGGGATCCATTCACCGGTTTGTGCCGTATTTGATAACTGGCATCAGGTATGGACATCAGGACATGGGTATCAAGAGTCTGGAGCTAATGAAGTGAGTGGTTGTCTATGACTGTATACACGCTTTTAGTGTCTATACTCTACAACAATTTGCTTCACCCTTTGCCTCCCTGTGCTCTCACAGAACCCAAACCTATTCGGGAGAACTGCGGTTCGAGAAGAGGACGGCGTCGGCACAGATCGAGGGCGGAGTCCACGGCCTCTACTCGTTAGTTGCAAATCGACAGCATTTGTCTAAATCTTGAGCTAAACCTCTAATCAATTTGTTAATGAATTTCTTTCTCTCTTCCGATTCGTGTCATTAGATTTGAAAAGAAATTGTTTTAAAACACGAGTTATTCGCACAAAACATTCCCCACATATGTATAGAGCATGTGATTGTATGGTATGTGTGGACCCACTAATAGCCCGATATTTTTTAGAGAGACATTTATTTTCAATGGCTTTCCATTTGAAGTCCTAAAAGTTTCGCAAAACACACAAAAAGTTTTTTCTCAGTCAATCATTGCGTGTCTAATGAATCGACTAATGGTTTCAATTGTTTTCAGTGTTTTCTACTAAATTAATGACTAATTTTGCCGTATTTTTTCATTTCATTTACTTTTTTATTAATTAATTAAATTCCGAGTTTTTGTAATTGTTTTGTTAATTAAAAAACTAATTTTATATTCCTTTGTTATAATGTATTAAACGTTTTGTTTGTATATTATATCATAAATAGTGCCATAAATTTGTGCTAAAAATTTGATAAAATCATTGAAAATAAAAATGAGAATTTATTTTATAACTAAA